GATTAATACTAAAAATGTATAAATTTGAGTATAAAATATAATTTGAAGGTATACATATGATGAAATCAAAATTTAAAAATATGATTTTTTAGTAAACTTAAAACACATGGTATAAATATATAAATATTCCTTTTTTTTCCTCTAAAGAAAAAAGATGAGGGAATAACATGGTAGTGTTTCCTTTCGTGAAATCTTAGGAGTTGCTTGAACACAAGCTCTTCTAAGTTAAGAATAAATATCTATATCCGTCCACCTGTTTGCATTAGCAAGGTAGTTATCGACGGTGAAATTTCGTCAACAGGATCACGCCGAGTCACCCCTTGATATCCCGTAGGGTTACCGGCCTAATACTGGTTATATACTGAAAATAATGCTTGTGAAGTGTTTGAATAAGCTTTGTGGTGAAAGTAATATGAGTGTAATGCTTGAATGAAAGGGCATGCACGAAATTTATAGTGGTTCACTCTGTTAATAAAGAGTTACATCCACTGTGTTTTTGCATATATCTTTCATATTTTCTAATTACATGTAGAGTGAGGAAGAAAGATGGAGAATCCGAGAGAGAGATATCCCTTTCATTCGGGGCCTTACCCCTTTTATAGCCCAGAGATTACTTCATGGGTGGTTTTTCTTAGTAGGCCCATCCACTTGAGTAGCCTACTAGCCTATGAACCCAGAACCCATAGCCTGTCACCACCTTTTTCACTGTTCACTCATCCAATTTGTCTACTATTGCAGCTATGCATATCCCCCTTTAATCCTCCACCGTCTATTAAATGATGATTTATGGGCTTGTAATTAATGCCTACATTACTGACATTCTTCAAACCCAAACGTAACTCCTTTGTCCACTCAGGGGCCTTTCTGGAGATGTGGATTCATGTTTATACGGTCAACTTCCTATGAGGCCTCTCTTCCTTGGAAGAGTCAGCCGTCTGGAGGCCTCTCCTCCTTGGAAGGGTCGGCCGTCTGGAGGCCTCTCCTCCTTAGAGGCGTCGGCCGTTCGGATGCCCCTTGGGCTCTTGGCAGGGTTAAAAACCTTCTTCATGGAGGCCTCTCCTCCTTGGAGGGGTCGGCCTCATGGAGGCCTCTCCTCCTTGGAGGAGTCGGCCTCGTGGAGGCCTCTTCTCCTTGGAGGCGTCGGCCGTTCGGATTCCCCTTGGGGTTCTTGGCAGGTTTAAGAACCTTCTTCATGGAGGCCTCTCCTCCTTGGAGGTGTTGGCCGTTCGGATGCCCCTTTGGATTCTTGACAGGTTTTAGAACCTTCTTCATGGAGGTTTCTCCTCCTTGGAGGGGTCGGCCTCATGGATGCCTCTCCTCCTTGGAGGGGTCGGCCTCATGGATGCCTCTCCTCCTTGGAGGCGTTGGCCGTTCGGATGCCCCTTAGGGCTCTTGGTAGGTTTAAGAACCTTCTTCATGGATGCCTCTCCTCCTTGGAGGGGTCGGTCTCACGAAGGCCTCTCCTCCTTAGAAGGGTTGGCCTCTTGGAGGCCTCTCCTCCTTGGAATGGTCGGCCTCATGAAGGCCTCTTGTACCGACGTGGCATCGCATATTTTTTCCTACAACAGTAGTTAACCAACATTAATTTTTTGTTAAAGGTAGTTAACTAACAATTCTATATTGAGCAAAATGGATCTCCAATCTCCCATAGGTTTGAGATTAAACAGCTTCTCTGCCCAAAAATTGAAGATTGATCAGCTAATTAAATAGGTCAATTCTCACCGCTTCAAATATGTGACTGTTTTTTTGCGGCTTCCTCATAAAAGATGGAACAGAAAAAATATTAAAACAAACATTCCAGGATTCAATTATTCCCCTTGAGATATTTGACCTCATATTCCTTAATTCAATATTTCTCATTACAAATAAGGGAGGGTTAATGTGTCAGGGAGAAGAATTCTTGGCACCATCATGGGAAGATGATTTTTTTTTTTTTTTTTTTTTTGAAGGGAACGTGATATTTTTGTAAACTTGGAAAATTAAAAGATATATTTACAGATTAATAATTGTTAAATTTTTAGAAATATGAACATATACTTGCAAACCAACATTGATGACGAAAATTAAATTCCTAACGGACCTTTTTAATTAATACCTAAATTTTTTATTTTTTAAACAAATGGTCGATTTTTTTTATTTTAATAGAATGACTATTTTTTAGTAGTCAACCCCGTAATTAACGGATATCTAACCATAGTTTTTTTTCTTTTTTCTTTTTTTTTTTGGTCGTGCCGTTGAAATCTCCTTTTTATTTCTCAAAAAAGAAAGAATCCGATTTCAAGCCTTGGAAGTACCATGCCACAGAAAAGGAAAATTCACAAGGTAGCTGGGACGTGGGTGGTTCAAACTTCACGCTTGACACGATCGGCCGATCAGTACAGTTTCACTTTCAATGCTCCACTGCCATTTTGAGCTCTGGAGAGTCGTCACTGTAGAAGGTTTTAAAAGCAGTGCTATAAGTTACCCCAAAAGGCAAAACATATACCACAGAAGAGATGAAACATGATTTATGATCCACTTCCTCTCCTAGTTGTTGTGTCGATCATGGCATGCTGATCTGATCAGCAGTTACTTAAAAACGAGGAGAAGAAAGGGAAAGAAGGAAGGCAATATGAGCCTGATCGGGTCAGCAGAATCTATGCTAAAGAGTTAAAAGATAAAGAAGTAAAGACACAGAAGAGCAGTGCCCCAAAACAAAGAAAAGAAAAGTAAAAATACTAAAGACAGACACATACTATTATTATTATTATTATTATTATTATATTATTTTAATTCACTCGCGCCAAAATAGGGACATTTGGCAAACGAGACAACATGCCAAACTTGATTGTTACGTATACCTGTCTACTTGGCCAACACGCCTTTTTTAAAAAGAAAAAAGAAAAAAACCTGTAGAAAATGATGCTTCTCTTTTGCTTGCTGTGTTTTGGCTCGAGGCAAATATTTTAGAAGATGTTTAGTAGAAAGATTCGTTCCCTGATTTGAATTATGATTCATAGTTTACTACAGTATTTTTTCTCATAAAAAATACACGTAAATCAAAAATGGTTCAAATCACATAGTTTGAATCCTTCAACTAAACGTCTTCTTAGTGTACATTTTTTGTGGATTTAAAATTGTGATTTAAAATTATTTTTAAATTATGTACATTTTTTATGAGAAAAAAAATTATAATGAGTCATGAATTATTATTTGAATTATGGTACGAATTCTTACTTTAAATGGACCCTAAAAATTAGGAAATATGTAGGACTATAGGCCTTTTTTATTGGAAGTGGGAGAGATTGTGACTTAAATCTAAAGATTTTGAACTTCATGTGGAGGAAAGTTTAAGAAAGGATTAGTATAAGAGTTCTTTGGTAGCATAAAATTAAAAATATAGAAATCATATCCTACTATGCAATTCTAGTCTATATATCGAAATTTTGTTTACATTTGAGTGTTGTTCGACTTCATATGTTCTAAAGAAAGGTTATAGTACAAGGGCTTGATTTTTTTTTTTTTTTTGTGTGAAAGTGTAAGATCAATTAAGCACACAAATATAACCCTACGAGATTTTATTAGATTTGAGTACTTTCTTTTTGTATTTTTATATTGATCTGACGTTCAAATGCACAAAACGTACGGGACTATACCCTAGTCTCTCATTTAGTATCGTTAGATTAGAGTCTCGTTCACTTCGTTGATTTGAGTTTAAAATTTGAGTTGAGATGTGATTTTATGTGAGAGCTTTTTATTGTAACAAAAAAATTAAATGTGATTGTTTGTAAAAGTTTTTTACTGTAAAAAAACTCAAATTTTAAATTCGAATCAACGAAATGAATAGGGTCTAGATATAAACAAAATTTTTGTGGCAAGAAAGTCCTTTTAATAATTTGTTGGCTAGGCATGGCAATTGTTTTCTTCATTTTGTGAAAGACAACAAATGTTGACGCTAGACTGTACCCTTTTGTGACGTTGCTTCTTCAATTGGACGACCTTGGTATGTGTGTAGTTTGTTTTGGCTCATTTGAAAGATCAAAGTCATGCAAATAGCTATGGCGAATAATCTTTCCTCAATTCCAAAACCCTTGTACAACCATACAAGTAAATCATCACCAAACCCCGCTTTATTTGTTTTTCACTTTTTTTTTTTGGCAAAAGATTTGATTTTTTTTGTTCACTTTGTTAAAGCAAAAAGGACTATATTCTGCGAAAGTATTATGGGATGATACACAAATTCTATCTTTTTAGCATTATATTGAAGTTTTGTATTAATCCTGCCAAGAAGACAACTAGCAAATGTATAAACGTCTAGACTTTGCAAGGTACTTTGGAAGTAAAACAATGTATAAAGAATTAAAATGTCCCATCAAATAATTAATTGATCAAAATATTTTCCTTCCTAATAGAGGATAAGAACAATAATGATCATTTATATAACCAATTACATTTAAAAGCAAAGAGAATTGCATTAATACACGCTATCACGATCTAGTTGAGAAGATGAGTTTTAGCAACATTATGGTTAAGAATTTGCTTTATTAAGAGGCCGACTCAGCTCATCTTTAAGCTTCTCAATCCCAAATGTCCCATCAACCCATTCTCTCAAATTTCATCACTTTATTAATTGTACAAGTTGGGGTCCAAGCCTCATTTATTTTGCGATTCAATCACAACTCTAATTTTTTTTATAATATTTTATCTTACAAAAAATTACATATAATTTTTTTTGTCATAATAATTCTATTTTTACATAATTTCATTTAAATTAAAAACTTAAATTCACGATATAAATGAGCTTTAAATATTAAAGATTTAACGTGGTCTAATCATGACTAGATGACTTTTAAATGATACACCATTAAATACAATGCTTTAATGCTTACCCTACTCTGAATTGTATCCCAAAACACCTAAAACAAATAAAACGGCTTGCATTTGCCGATTCAAAATAAAGAAACCTCATGAATGAGCAATTGAGCATATACAAAGGTGCAAATTGCAAAATACCATTTCCTTCCGTTTTTTTCTGCCACTAAAGTTAGCACAAACCAGCTATTATGATCTATTCTTTCTCTCTAAAATGACTCATTCAACATGTAAATACAAAAGAGTAGAGACTAATATAAGCCAAAGTGAAGTGTGAACTACTAGTTTGCTACAAATGTAAGTGTGGAAAAAAAAAAACACAAGATCATAACAAACACATTGTAATTGTTCATTGTCGTATGCTAAAAATCAAACAAACTTGTTTCTTTCATTATTAATATATCTACTACCATCTCTTTTTTTTCTTTTTTTAATTTACCCCCTCATGTTTTAAACATAAGATCTCCATCCTTCTTCACTCCATGACTAGTTCCCAAATGCTGCCTGAAAATCCATTTCCAACCCTTCAAGCTCTTCCTCCCTTTCTTCAACCCTCTATCATTGACCGTAATCCTACAAGAACCACCTCTATTAAAAACCCCATTTTCACTCTCATTATAACTATTCCCTCCATTGAAAAACTCACTATTAGTACTAGCCCTCATGCTTCCAAAAGCAGACTCTGAACTAGAGCAAAACTGATGATCCGGTACGGCCTTCGACTCCGCCGAGTAGTCGAGTTTCAAATCAATGAAACCCGACTCATCCATTCCACTGAAATAATCGCTCTCCTTTAGAGAGAAGACCCTTCTGTTCCCTCCACCATTGCTGAATTGATCAGACACCAAACCCACATCAGAATAACAATAATATTCTCTCTTGTTAGTATTATTATTAATTTCACCGCCGTCGAATCCACTCTTCCTCGGCTCGGTTTCGCTGAACCCGCTTCTCCTTCCCGAGTCCAGAACCATACACGCCGTCACGCTCGAGCTCCTCGCGCCGGAGATCGAGCTCCTCGCGCCGTCGTCGGACCCAAGCCAACCTCCACCGCCACCGCCACCGCCGCCTCGGAAACTACAGAGAGATCTCGATCTAGAAACACCCACGTGATCAACGAGCCACATCTCGCTCTTGATCTCATGATCGAACCCGGAAACGCTTCTGTTAGTGCTGTAATTCCCCAGCGCGTCCTTGATTATTTCCTTCTTCTTTCTGAACAACTTGCCGAATCTCCAGAACCCACCGTTTCGTGATCTCTTGATCTCCACACAGCTGCTGTTGCTTCTCCGGAGAAACAGATCGTCGTCTTCGTAGTTGTTGTTGTAGCTGTTGTGGTGATTGTTATTGTTTTCTGTTTTATGGGTCTGCGCTCTGCTGGACCTAGTGGCGGTGTTTTCGTTTTCGATGAGGAACGCCCCTCTGCCGACGCTTCCGATCTCGACGGTGCAGGAGTTTCGGTTGGAGGAGATCTCGGAGCAGGAGCAGGAGGAGAGACGCTGTTCGCCGCAATCTGAACACACGAGCTTGATCAGCCGATCTTTAAGGCAGTAAGCACAGATTCCGACGGAAGAAGAAGAAGGGTGTTTCTTGCATGGCAAGTCATGAGAAGAGGTCGAGTAGTATACTTCCATGTCTTCCACTGCTTTGCCTCTGTCTCTCATTCTTCTGGTTTTCAATTTGAAAAAAAGAAAAAGAATGGAAGAGTTTTGGCTTTGGCTTTGGCTTTGGCCTTTGGGGACCAATAAAAAAATATAAAAAAAAATGTTAAAAATGGCCTATAAAGGGTTCAAAAGAAAAGGCCTACAAGGGCTATAATGGAAAGCAAAATGTGGGTTTTGAGGAATGAATTTGGAATTCAAGAAGATCATTCAATTGAAGAGAGGAGTAAGAGAGACTTGTTTTGTTGGTAGTAGTAGTAGTACTACTACTACTACGAGATTAGAGTGATTGAAAATGAAATTGATGGATTACTGAGGCGTCACCTTTACGTTTGCTTTCTGGCAAATAGTTCAGAGAGAGAGAGAGAGAGAAAAAAAATGAAAAAAAAAAAAAAGTGATGAGAGAAAGCACTAGTTGTTTTGTTCCTGCAGGCATTATTGTGCGTGTGGCCTGTTTGGGGGGAGGAAGTGAATGTTACAGCAAACATGAGTAAATCACAGTGTGCAAAACCACTCTCATAAAGCCCAATAAAGACTAGAAGAAAACTGTACGCCCATTTCTAACCATCAATGCAAATAAACTTGTCCCTACCACATAATCAACGGTTCCTCGCAAAAAGTCACACTTCACTAAACAGTCCATAAATCAACTGGTCCGAATCCATCAATATCTCATCACTTCCTCATCTTTTTTCTTTTCCATAGAATTAGTTGTGAGGAGTTTATCGGTAGGTGAAAAAATATATAAAATTTTTTAATATAAATTTAACGGTTAAAAATATAAAATTATTAATAATTTATTTTTTTAATTGTACAAAATAAATTCTCCTATTTGGGTACATATTTTTTTACTAGAAATTAGAGGAGGTGCATACTTTTGATTTTTTTTACTCACGGATGATGAAAAAAATGAGAATTATACGTGTAAAAGAGAGTTCTTATAGTAGGATTTTTTTTTAAATATTTAATTTTTAATCGTTATATTTAATTAAAATCGTATGCAGAATAGAGACTTTAATACAAATATAACAAAAATAAGAACTTTTCAATAATTTATTTTTTTCATCTATAAAAGAAAACTCCACACATAAAAAGGAATAACATAACTTTTAAACGTTATATCTGCGTCAATTTCTATTGTGTTTTTATATATTTTTTATTTTCATACAAATAATTTTGACGAGATCTACATTCATAAATATGTACAATCGACGAAAAATGCTGCTCCGTAGAAAGCTTGTAATAAAGCTCGTAAAAGATCATCTGAATTATCCAAATATTTTTTACCATCAATTAAACGAAAATTCTAATGGATAAAACATTTTTAAGCCTCCACCATTTTTTTTTTTTTTTTTGAAAAAGGGAAAACATGTATATTCGAAAACAAAATTGAGATGTATCATATCATATCATATCTCACTCTTTTCTCTTTCTTTTCAACATTTTTCATGCCTTATTTCTCGCTTTCCCTTTTTGACTTTTGTGATACAAAACGAACTAAAATATTTCCCCTCTCTCACTCTCTCTCTATCGTTTCCTTCCTCTTTGGTGTTGGTGGGATTAGAGTGATGAAAGTTACCGATCAGAGTAGCATGAGTGAGCACGCATATTAATTTGTCCAGTTTCTTTCTTTTCTTTTCAATTTTTTTCCTCCTCTTTTTTTAACATTATATATTACCATCATTCATTGAGACACAATCTTATACCATGTCGTTTTCTTCCTCGACCTTGAGCACGTGTCCCACCGACAAATCCTTTCTTTTGTTGAACCTACGTAAAGGACTTAACCAGCTGGGGTCACTTTCTTTCTTCTTTTTTTTTTTTTTTTTTTGAATTCTAAGAAATTGACGGTTCTGATGTGCTAGGGTGCATATCATAATTATACAGGTGAGAAGCATTAGTCAACTCTAGCCATGCTTTGCTAGCTTTGTGCTCTAATTAAAGGCCCTCCTTAGGGGAAAAAAAAAAAAAAAAGAAAGGGAAAAAAAAAAGTCTCAAAACATAAGCTAGCTAGGACATGAATGATTATCTACATGTGCGACACATTTGTACCTTTTACGTGCCGTGGTGTAGTAGAGCAAGTCTTGTTTTTGTCCATTTCCTAATTCCTAGCCCTAGTCTTGAATTTCAATCACACGAGCTAAGTTTTACATCAAGCTGACCTATATGAAAACTTCTGTCTTCTATTACAATAAGGTTAGGTTAGGACTTTTTTTTTAATCGTTAAATCTTATTTAAAATAAAAAGCATACATAACAGGACATATAATTTTTTAATAAGAGAAAAAAATAGTCTAACATGAAATCGTTTAACTAAAAAACTATTACATGAAACCCATTTCCTTAAATGATTTACATTTAAGAAGAATCTTTTTAATCCAAGTCTATAGATACTAGAGTTTTAGGTCTGTTTAGTTCGCTGATTCGAGTTTTTAACTCGAGTTGATATGTGACTTTACGTGAGAGTTTTTTACTGTAGCAAAAAATTAGATGTAATTATTTCTGAGAGCTTTTTAGTGTAGCAAAACTCGAATTCTAAACTCAAATAGGTGAGTTTATAATTCGAGTTTTACTACAGTAAAATGCTCTTAAAAACGATTACATTTAATTTTTTTTGTTACAACTTTCACATAAAGTTACATCTCAATTCGAATTAAAAACTCGAATCAGCGAACTAAATGGCCCTAAGTGAGTCTCAAAAAATTTTCCATCTTTTTATAGATAGATAGATCATGCCATTTTTTGATAATATTAATAAAAATAACAACTCTTATGCTATCTTGATTGATACTAAAAACTTGAGATTCCCAGCATTCTTTAAATTTTAATTGCCACAAACTTTTCATCACTCTGTTTCACCAATGGCATTACCGTGATCAGATCAGATGGTGATCTTTGGTTTTCTTTATTGATTGTCACTTTGCAGCCTTCAAGGTAAAGAGTTGGTCTTTAGGGGATTCCATGGAGGCACAAAACTTTTCCCTTTCTTCTTTTCTTCCTTTTTTTTTTTTTTTTTTTTAGAATATTAGACTATCTCTCCAATCATGGATTGGCACAACGAAGGAAAGTCACAAGTTTCAGACTATTACGGAAGAGTAGTAATGTCTCTTAGTTTCTATTATTATGCCCCAATTAGACAACTGTTAGGAAAATGATTTGACATTAACATGAGTTTGGTACACATCTCTTTAGTTCATTGATAAACTATTAGTGGTAATGAGACAGCTTCATATATCCATTTAATTGTCCTTTCTTTGAAAATCAAAATTCTATCTTAATGTAGATTTTGTGTTTTCATGAGTTAGCTAACAAAATAATAATAATAATAATAATAATAATAATAATAATAAAATATGTGTACATTGTGTGAGAATTTTTAAAATTTTACATAAATAATTAAGAAATAATTATGTTATATGCAAAATTTTTCTTTATTCCTATTAAAACCTATTAAAAATTATAATATTTTGCACATATTGTAACTATTTATGTTAAATTTTTTTTATAATGCGATAACAAAGTGATTATCCATGCAAACTTTTAAAAATCGTCCGTTCATTTTATTGGCAGGGACCAAAACTATTAAAAAATGAAAGTTCAAGGACTAAATATGTTTAAATTAAGAGCTCAATGATCAAAATGTCTAACATAGCTATTAACCCTAATAATAAAAAAAATTCAATGAACAGAATTGAAAAAAAAAAAAAAAGGGATGAAAGGGTGCAAACGGGTACAAGCACGTCTGCCTTGGGGAATAATAGCAAGGTGGCACGCCCCACGCATGCAGTAAAAACACCATGCATCATGGGGCTGCATAAACAATTGCTGGAGGATTTTATTTTTTTTTAATTTGATTTAGTTCATAATTATTATTATTTTTTTCTTTACTAGGATTGGTGATAATCATGATGTTTCATTGGTCTGCCTTCACTTAATTATTTTGTTGTTTTCCAAATGATACGTTTAAAAAAATATGGTTCTTGGGATCTCAAGGCCTACAAAAACACAACCAAAGATTGAGTGACCAAGAAATTTTTGTGATTGCATTCTTTTGAATGTGTTAATCCAATCATTAAGTGCAAAATTTCACCTAGAGTTTTGTAAACATTGTTTGCTGTCTGACATGCACTTTCTTGGGACCCAGGGCTTGAAATGTCCCCCTTGTTGTCGTTGTCGTTTTTTTTTTTTTTTTTTTTTTTTTTTTTTTTTTTTTTTCTGGAGAAAAAACTCTATAAGGTTCTCTATTCATTTGCATGGCTCCACAGGCATTTCCTCGTGATTCAAATTTCAGGCTTCCTCTGCTCTAATTCAAATTCCACCCAGCCCACCTCCTCCATTCGCGAAAAGAAAAAAAAAGGCGAAAAGGAGGCCTTTAGTACTTTACTCAATCTCGACATCATTGTTTGGGAAAAACTTGTTTGGTCCCCTACAATGGGATTCAACTCGGCGGGGTTGAGTCCATGTTAGTTTAAAAGAGATGGTTTTTCTTAAAAACATAAAGAACATAACGGAATATGTTTTTTATTTTTCATTTTTTTTTATGAAACCAGCAGGATACTGATATTGTTGTATAGAATAATTATCAAATAATTATTATCACCTATTAGGGGAAAAAAAAACCTTTGGATCGTCAAGCATTCAACTTTCTTTCTGGCTATTCTCTTCTTTTTAAATTAACCAATGTGTGGATACCAGTTGATTGTCTTAAACTTTACAATTCTCATTCGGTTTTTTTTAATTATGATATGACTTTCTTAGTTCTAAAGGAAAGAGCATAGAAAACCTATATAGAGACAGCAAAAGATCTAAATAAAAATACACCACTAGAAGTCTACTTATAACGCAACGTATATAAATAGGATTAGGAAAATCAAATCCTTGCACTGCTAGGTAAATAACCCACTATGTTGAGAGGATGTCATTTCATGATTGGAAGAACAGGCCAAGCACTTGTTCCAACTAATAGCAGAACAAACTGAACACTAGGCTGAACAGGTCGAGGGTTTGGTCCGACCATTGTGCCGAACAGGCGAACAGGCCGAACATCTGATTCAACTACAAACAGAGCACCTGATCCGAACAGGCCAACCACTTGGTTTGAACACCAGGTCCGACCACAGGCCAGACACATAGTCCGAGCATTATCCGACACCGATAGATCGAACAATACAAGTGCTAGATCAATTAATTGATTGTTATGTGACATCCTCTCCGCAATCCCCATTGAAGGCTCCCCCACCTATAGGGGTGTAACACATGTCATATGACCGGTACAACTTTACACCTCAGTTACCTTCAGGTTTCGGGTTGGATTCAGGCACTACTTGAATTTGAAAATACTCTATAAATATCAAGCTTATTAATTCACCGAAGTAGGGAAAAACTCTCTACCTAAGCTCTACTTCTCCATTAATTGCTCTCAATCGATAATCTAACTTGAGTTTTGAAGTGCCCTTAGCATACACCACACAGTATCCCCTTAACTC